GGCCAGTACTATCATTAAGAGCTTTTTCTACATGTAAGGTAAATGTTTTAATCTGTTGCTGAAGCAGGATTGTACAGACAGCAGGGGAGAATACTGTGATAGGGTACCACCACCAGGGAGGCCAGCGCATCTGTAACCAGCCATGTTTGTAAGCATCTAGATTACTGGGGAGGGGAATATTATCGCGGATAGTGAATGAAATTAATGGCCACGCCCAAGTACATCTCCCCATCAAAAGCGGCAGCAGGTATCACCACCCATAGGATCTGCATACCCAGAGGGCCCCCCTGGGGACAGCAGTGGAGCTACCATAATCATAGTGTACTAATTTCTTTTTTTTTTTTTTTTGAGACGGAGTCTGGCTCTGTTGCCCAGGCTGTTGCCCAGGCTGGAGTGCAATGGCCGGATCTCAGCTCACTGCAAGCTCCGCCTCCGGGGTTTATGCCATTCTCCTGCCTCAGCCTCCCAAGTAGCTGGGACTACAGGCGCCCACCACATCGCCTGGCTAGTTTTTTGTATTTTTTTTTTTTTTTTTTGAGTAGAGACGGGGTTTCACCGTGTTAGCCAGGATGGTCTCAATCTCCTGACCTTGTGATCCGCCCATCTCGGCCTCCCAAAGTGCTGGGATTACAGGCTTGAGCCACCGCGCCCGGCCCTAATTTCTTATTAAAATAGGAAAAGGGATTGTGGTTCACTGGGCGCGATATTGTTGATTTGGAGTGTGTGTTGACAATTGACTGGAGAAACCACAGAGAAACATTAGAGGAGTCATTTACTACCTCCAGACAAAGCAGGGGCTGTATGGAATCCGGCCACCAGCACATTAGGTTTCCAAAATATACGGTTCCAGGACTATTGGGCAGGATACCAAGGCTTTCAATACAAGGTGAGGGTGCAGTTCACCTTTTGTCTGACTTGGCAAAGATAGATTCCTTAGTGTGGTCAAAGGAAGTCCAGGTTGGATTGCAAGTGTTGTTGTTATGGCCCCATTAGTAACAACACAGCAATTCAGAAATACTGTCAGGGATGATTCTCCAAGTTTGCCCATTTTTGGCGGCCTCTGGCAACTCAACTTACAGCCAACATTGATTGCGGTTGGCTTCTGTTGCAGCAGTGGCTACCCAGGTGATGAATTTATTCTTGGCCTCAGACACAAAGACACAGGTGCTGACCACTAGTAGATAGGTTATTCCCTGTAATAACAAAAATGGAGGGGAACATGATACTGTTTTTCATCTTTAGGAAATGGTACTATGCCTTCATTTTCTGTTTTCATAGCTACAAGGTCACCAGCCTTAGGATCGGGATCTGATGGATACTGTACCCATATTTTGACTCCAGGATTTAAGCTACCTGCAACGAGGGGAGCTGAAACCCCCAGTTCTGCATGTAGACTCTGTTGGGCAGAGATTTCCTCAGGGGTTGATTGTGGACAAGGTACCACTAACAATTGAGCAACCAGCATCTGTGGTTTTATAGCAAAAGAATCTGGAGTGGTATTGTGTAAAATGACCTTTAACTCTCCCTGGTAATCGCTATCAATTATACCGCCATACACTAGAATGCCTCTCATTGCAAGGCTTGAACATGTTGCAATCCATTTACCTGCATTCAAGTTTGCAGTTAGGGTGGAAATTTTGACCTGTTGGTCTTCCTGCTGATTAAATAGTCTGTCAAGAAAAAGCAGAGATGCCTGAGCATCAACATGGAAAACAGGGTCAGGTGCAGTGGCTCATGCCTGTAATCCCAGCACTTTGGGAGGCTGAGCTGGGTGGATCACAAGGTCAAGAGATCGAGATCATCCTGGCCAACATGATGAAACCCTGTCTCCACAAAAAATACAAAAATGAGCTGGGCATGGCAGTGCGAACCTGTAGTCCCAGCTACTCGCGAGGCTGAGTCAGGAGAATCACTTGAACCTGGGACATGGACGTTGTGGTGAGCCCGGATCGCGCCACTGCACTCCAGCCTAGCAACAGAGTGAGACTGAGTCTTTAAAAAAAAATGAGCTGGGCATGGCGGCCCATGCCTGTAATCCCAGCTACTTGGTAGAGTGAGGCAGGAGAATCTCATGAACGTGGGAGGCAGAGGTTGCAGTGAGCTGAGATTGCACTGCAATCTCAGGGCTAGAAAAAAAACAACAACAACAACAAAACCAAACATGGAACACAGTGATAATGGTAGTGTGTGCCAGGATTCAGATACCTTACCAGTATTGTTCTCGCCAAACCTCTTTATTCCCAATTAGCCATTTATTTCGTTGCCAGTGGGGCACCCAGGTGGTAAGACCATTTGCTACTGATCAAGAGTTGGTATACAAGTGACAAATCCCTCTGGTCTCCTCCTGAATAGCTCAGAGGATGGCTACTAGTTCAGCTAACTGGCTGCTCCCACCCCTTCCTTCATCAGAAACGCTTATGTTTTTAAGAGGATTATAAGCCACAGCCTTCCAGCATCGGGTCCCACCAATGTATTTGGTGGATCCATCAGGAAACCAAGCATATTTCTGATCCTCTGGGCTTAGTTCTTCAAAGGATTTGCCCCATTTGACGGGCAACACGGGGTGGTGTTTCCCTCTGTATCTGCAGGACTTATTCAGTGTTTCCTGTGCTGTCAAGTTTTGTCCATCCTCATGTAAAAGTAATACTCCCTTTGGTTTTGGCTTAGCCTGGTTTTGTATGTACCATTTCTGTTTTACGGTGCTACTTTCTTGAGTGTGGCCTATCTGGTGGGTTTTGGGGGAACTCATGTCTCAGGTCATAATAGCAATTTCAGGCCTCATAAAAACATCATGGTTGAAGCAAAGGTGTTCCATTTCGAGCAAAGCCCAATAGCAAGCTAACAATTGCTTCTTGAAAGGGTTATAAGCTTTTCCGGCCTCTGGCAGTTTCTGAGTCCAAAACCCGAAAAGTACCCTCTTCCCATCTTGTTTCTGCCCAAAGCTCCAATTAGCATGTTGATCTAGGACAGTTACTTGGAGTTCTACTGGCCCATCCCGTATGGGCCATAGATCCAGGGCCAGTTGCACTGTTTGTTTAGCTTGTTCCAATGCCATGCTGTCTTTCTCTCCCCAGTGAAAGTCATAGCGTTTTCTAGCGACTGCATGCAGAGGTTGTAAAATGTTACCTAAGTGGGGAATATGATGTCTCCAGAATCCAAACAAGACAGTACATTTCTGGGCCTCCTTCTTAGTGGTGGGGTTTGCAAATTCTAGTATTTTAGCTCTAGCTTTTGGTAAAATGGACTATTTCTTTGCATTCCATAAAACATCAAGGGATTTTATACTTTGTGCAGGTCCTTGAATTTTACTAGGGTTAATTTCCCATTTTTGAGATAGGAGCTGGGTTTTTACCCGCTTCAAGCCCCGGTTGGCTAGTTCTTCAGTTTTACCCTGACCAGGCCCTCTGGACAGCTGCTTTTTTCAGCAATAGGCTGATAGCTTTGAGCTTGATCAGTCAAGACATTGACTGGCATTGGGCCAGGGCCAGTCTGGAAGTCAGATTAGCATTTTCCTTTTTCAGCTTACATTTCTCTTGTAGCAACCAGACCCTATCTCGATAAATTAATTTATAAGCAGCAAGCAAACACCATCCACTTTGGGATGTCCCCTCAGCATCTCCCTTGCTGACCAGAATCCCCTGCAGCACTTCACGCACAGTCAAAGGTTTAAATTGCACTAATTTAGATTCCCAATTCTCACAAAGGCCAGTTCCCCTGGACCATTTACTCAACAAGAGGGAGAACTGGGGGAGTTCCCATCCCGGGATATGGGAAATCCCTGAGCCTCCAGCCCTGTCCTTCTGGTCAAAAAGGGGCACACTTTTGTTTCTAAATCCTATTTGTGACGCCAAAAATGTTCTCTGCTGGAAATGTTGAGGGGAGAAGAAAAGACACACACACAATACCTTTAAGGGTAAACAACCTTTATCCCACGTAAATGGCAATGCAGACATTATAGACTAATAACATAATAAGCAAATGACATAATAAGAAAATAAATATAAGCAGATTGATATAATAAGCAAATTGCAATAAGAAGAGTAGACGGGAAAAGATATATATTTATCCTCACCAGGCTATGGAGGATTCACCACCAGAAAGGGAAGCAACAGCCACGACTCCAGAGTCAGACACCTGTCTGTGCACAGATTCATCCGTCCTCCACAAATCCCCCTGTCTTGATGAATCGGCTGTGTCTAGGCAAAGGGCAAGGTGAACCCCTTGGGCTGTTACACAACCTCCGCCTCCTGGCTTCAAGCGATTCTCCTGACTTGGCCTCCGGAGTAGCTGGGACTACAGATGTGCACCACAACAAATGGGTAACTTTTTATATTATTAGTATAGATGGGGTTTCACCATGTTGGCTAGGCTAGTCTTGAACTCCTGACCTCAAGTGATCCACTCACCTTGGCCTCCCAAAGTGTTGGGATTACCAGCGTGAGCCATCCGTGCCTGCCCCTAAATGATTTCTATCTCCTACAGCAGTTTGAAATTACTTAAAGGTTGTTTCAAATTGAAAAAATAAAAAGAATGTGGATAAAATTAAAATATAAATAAAAAATTACAAGATATTACAAAATACATACGTAAATCTGGAGTGGTCAAAAATGACAAATTTGATTTATTTATAAGGTTTTATTAAAATTAGCTTTAATAGATAATATACTATTACCAAAGTAAAAGTTGATTTTCTGTTGAACAAAAATTTTATGTATTATTAATATGACAGCAAATTACTTCCGGTCACCTTTTGAACACATTCAACAAGAGAGAGATTAAAAAAAAGATAAAATTTTCCCACGCTCTAGAGTGGGCGTGGCTCAGCTCAGGGAGGAAGCCCTGTTTGAAAAGGCTGCTGCTTAGGCTGTCGCTCTTTGTTCACTCAGCCCAGCGTCTGATCACACCTTATGTCACTCAGGGCCTGAGGGGGCGAGGCCTTAAGCATTATCCAATCAGGGACGCTGGGCTGGAAACCGTCCAATCAGGCACGCAGCCAGAGTGAACCGTAAGGCTTCCGGGTTTGGCGGGGCCTTTGTCTCTCGCTGCAGCCGGAACTCCGGGTGTCTTCTTCACTGCTGTGTGTCTTCTGCTCCTAGAGGCCCAGCCTCTGTGGCCCTGTGTCCTGCAGGTATTGGGAGATTCACAGCTAAGACTCCGGGACCCCCTGGAAGCTTAGAAATGGTGAGAGTGCCGGTCCGACATCCCGAGAGAGGGGGACGCGCTGGTTGGAACCGGTGAGAAGTAGCTGTGGCGGGACTCAGGCCTCCGGGCAGTCAGCTCCACAATCTGCGCCCCAAGTTCTCCTTGCCCAGCTCGGCCTCAGTCCCGTTCAACCATAAGATGGCGGCTACGCTGACAGCCGGGCCCACGGGCGTCCTGTCTCTTCCCTGCGCAGTGACCGTGCTCTGGCCTGGAGCGCTCTGTGGGCTGCTCTGCACCCGCAGCGCCCCATCTCTCCCAGAATGTGCAGGGACCACCGGAGGGTCGTCAAGGGAGAATCCTGACTCGGGGTGCGGGTCAGGGAAGAGCTGGAGAGGGAAGAGCTTTGGTCCGTGGGGTTCACAGTCTCTGTTTTCTGCTATTAAAAAATTATGGGGCCGGGTGCGATCGTTCACGCCTGTAATCCCAGCTCTTTGGGAGGCCGAGGCAGGCGGATCACTTGAGGTCAGGACTTGAAGATCAGCCTGGCCAAAATGGGGAAACCCCATGTCTACTAAAAATGCAAAAATTAGTTGGGTGTGATGACAAATGTCTATAATCCCAGCTTCTCGAGAGGCAGGAGTGAGAGAATCGCTTGAACCCGGAAGGTGGAGTTCGCAGTGAGCTGAGATCCTGCCACTGCACTCCAGCCTGGCGACAGAGGAAGACTCTGTCTTAAAAAAAAAAAAAAAGTAAGCACCTTAAAATTTCCTTCTCTTATGTAAACTGTTTGAGTAATTTCCCTGGATTTTTCAAACACTTAGTTTCAAAAACCAAGTGAATAACTGATATGGAAATTAAAGCTTGAACCTAAAAACTCCAAGCTAAGGCTAATATTAAGCCTGCAACAGGATGTTATTAAAGACTCAGTTTTTTTCTGAGGAGCCTCCCCTGCAGATTTCCCAGCCTGCTCATCCCAGCCATGTAAGGAGCCTTTATCCTGAGAGAAGCTACAGAGCCCTAGAAAGCTGGGGATCCACAGGCAGTTGCAGTTGAGATTAAGATGAAAGGAAACTGAGAGGGTCTTACTGATGATGAAGTTTTTATGTTTTGCGGCACTTTCTACACTTTGTAAAATAAAAAACATTAGATTTATGTAAAAAAAAATGAATTCCAAAAAATTACTGCAACAGCAGAAAGTACCGACTAAGTATAAGATCTTTATGGCTTGCAAAGATGTCGGCAGAAAAGGGCTTTCTTTTTTAGGGAGGAGCAAAGAAGATTAGAAAGGAGGTGTGAAGGGAATGGCAAATGGAGAGTGAAAAAGTCAGATTTTAGATCAGAGAATGTCTTACCCTGAAATCAGCGTATTCTTAGGAGGGACGTAAAATGGGGTTGTATGTTGACTCAGACTGAGGGTAGCACAAAGTTCAGGAGCCCGAAGGAGGGAGATAAGCTTAAGAAAAGTTTGACTAAGGATTATTTTATTTTAGGCTAAGTGTGGTGGCTCACACCTGTAATCCCAGCACTTTGGGAGGCTGAGGCAGGTGGACCTGAGGTCAGGTGTTTGAGACCAGCCTGGCCAACATGGTGAAATCCTGTCTCTACTAAAATACAAAAATTATTGGGAGGCTGAGGCGGGCAGATCACCTGAGGTCGGGAATTCGAGACCAATAAATAAATAAATAAATAAATAAATAAAAATAAAAGATTCAGGTATGGTGGTGCATGCGTGTAATCCCAGCTTCCCATAAGACTAAGGCAGGAGGAGATTCGCTTGAACCCGGGAGGTAAAGGTTGTGGTTAGCCGAGATCGCAAAACTGCACTTCAGTCTGGGTGACAAAGTGAAGAAATATTTTATTTTGAGCATGGAAGACAAATTCAGCTGATTTTTTTAATGAGAAAAAGGAGAAAATGTGCAGTGTGTGTGTCTGGCTGTGTGATAAGTAAGAAAAGAGAGCACCATCTAAGTCATAATGGGAAGAGTGTTTCTTTCCATAAACTGTTCCTGGAGCACACAAAGGATGGAGAATTTTATTAATCACAAATACTTTCCAGGATTATCTATGTGTTTCATCTTTCCCCATCTCTTTTCTTTGTTCTATGCTTTTCTTCCATTTGGCTTTTCCTGGGCTGCATCTCACATATGAAACTGGTAAACCTAACTACAGTGTTTTGCTGAGCTCTGTGAGTAGCTCTACCAAATTATCGAACTTCAGGGAGGTTATGGGACTCCCCAGTTTTTAAACAGTAGCTCAGAAGCGTAGATAAGCCCATGGGGTTTGTGATTGGCATCTGCAGTGAGGACAGTGTTGCGGGACCGAGCCCTGAATCAGGGTCTGTGTTGACGCTGGGTGGTGTCAGAATTCAAGTGTTAGACAATGAGTTGGTGTTGGAGAATTGTTTGATGTTCAGCAAACTCTACAAATTTGGTGCCAGAAAAAAGATATCACAGAGGCCTGGCCTGGAATAAAACTCTAGGTGTTTGGGAATGGGAGCTCTGTTGTCCACTACACAGGCTGTCACACTGCCCATTGTTCTGTGATTCCAGGTATTCTCCCAGGGTGACAGAGGACTGAAAACTTAGAAGAAAGGAGCTCTGATGACAGACCCCATTTTCCCACAGCTGCCACCACAGGATTCCCACCCACTCACAAACACACACACACTAGACATTGACATGGCCACACTCCACTGAGGCGTAAGCACCACCCTCAGGAAGTTCACCATGGCGTTTTTGATCCTAGTGTTTCTTGCTAAGAACCCACAAGTCTCTACAAGTCTCCTGACATATCCCCACCCCCAGCTACTGAATCTGCAGCAGCAACCTGTTTTCTCCACCAACCTAGCATTTTGGACCAGCTGTTCATAATCTCATACGTTTGCATGCACTCAGTAATAAATCAGAGTACAGCTGCATTGGGACTACTGTCTGTAGCAAAAATCAGCCCTCTCACCCACATTGCACTCTCTCCCACCCAGGGATTTAATTTTTTCTTTTAGTTTTTATTTTTGTTTCGGGGTACCCTTGGGTTTGTTTTGGTACATGGGGGTTTTGTGCACAGCTTATTTTGTCACTGAGGTATTAAGCATAGCACAAAACAGGTATGTTTTCTGATCCTCCTAGTCTTCCACCCTCTACCCTCAACTAGGCCACAGCATCTGTTGTTCTCTTTGTGTTCATATGTTCTTATTATGTAGCTGTTACTTATAAATAATAACATGCATTTGGTTTTCTGTTTCTGCATTATTTTCTTTTTCTTTCTTTCTTTTTTTTTTTTTGTTGAAGACAGTTTCACTCTTGTTGCCCAGGCTGGAGTGCAGTGGTGTGATCCAGGCTCACTGCAACCTATATCTCCCAGTTTCACATGATTGTCCTGCCTCAGCCTCCTGAGTAGCTGGGATTACAGGTGCGTGCCACCACGCCCAGCTAATTCTGTATTGTTAGTGGAGACAGGGTTTCTCCATGTTGGGAAGGCTGGTCTCAAACTGCTGACTTCAAGTGATCAACCGACATTTGACTCCCAAAGTGCTGGGATTACAGGCTTGAGCCACTGCACCAAGCCTCTGCATTTGTTTTCTAAGAATAATGGTCTCCAGCTTCATTGATGTTATAGAAAACAACATTATTTTATTTTTTAGTGGCCACAAAGTATTCCGTGATATTTATGTACCATATTTTGTATTTATTTTATTTTTGAAGACATGGTCTCCCTTATTGCCCAGGCTAGAGTGCCATCGCATGATATTGGCTTACTTTAGCCTCAACCTCCCAGGCTCAAGCAATTCTCTCCTGCCTCATCCTCTTCTTGGGGCTACACATGGGCATTACCACACCTTGCCAATTTTTCTTTTTGTATTTTCCGTGGAGACAGGATTTTGCATTGTTTTCTCAGACTGGTCTGAAACTTCTAAGCTCAGGCAGTCCACCTGCCTCGGCCTCCCAAAGCGCCGGGATTACAGGCATGAGCCACCGCATCTGACCATACCATATTTTCTTTATCCAGTCTACCACTGATAGGCATTTAGGGCCTGTCCATGTCTTTGCTATTGTGAATAGTGCTGCACTGAACATGCATGTGGATGTGTCTTTATAATATAATAATTTATATTTCTTTGGCTATATACCCAATTATGAGATTCCTGGGTCAAATGATAATTCTGTTTTTAGTTCTGTGAGGAATCACCACACTGCTTTTTACAGTTGTTGAACTAATTTACACTCCCACCAGCCGAGTATAAACATTCCGTTTTCTCTGCAACCTTGCCAGCATCTGTTATTTTTTGACTTTTTAAAAATAGCCATTCTGACTGGTGTGAGGTGGTATCTCATTATGGTTTTTCTTTTAATTTCTCTAATCATTACAGATGAGCATTTTTTTCATATGCTTGTTAGCCACATGTATGTCTTCTTTTGAAAAGCATCTGTTCATCTTTTTTGCCTACTTTTTAATGAGGTTGGTTGTTTTTTTCTTTTAAATTTGTTTAAGTTTCTAATAAATTCTGGATATGAGACGTTTGTCAGAGGCAAAGTTTGCAAATATTTTCTTTCTTCTGTAGGTTGTCTGTTTACTCTGTTGATAGTTTATTTGCTATGAAGCTCTTTAGTTTAAATAGGTCCCATTTGTCAATTTTTGCTTTTGTTGCAGTTGCTTTTGGTAGCTTCATCATGAAGTCTTTGCTAGTCTCTATGTCTAGAATGGTATTTCCTAGGTTGTCATGCAGTGTTTCTTATAATTTTACATTTAAGTGTTTAATTTATCTTGAGTTGATTTTTGTATATGCTGTAATGAAGGGACCTAGTTTCTGTCTTCTACATAGTGCTAGGTAGTTATTCCAGCACCATTTATTAAAGAGATAATTCTTCCCACATTTCTCTTGTCAGCTTTGTCAAAAATCTGATGGTTGCAGGAGGGTGCCATTATTTCTGGGCTCTCTATTCTGTCGCATTGGTCTTCAGCCTGAGTCTCTCCAGCCTGGCTTATCATTGGGCCATCAGCCCAGGGTCACTGGAAATTCCCTCAAAATCACGTAGGTGTCTTTGAGGCATTTGAGGATGTTCAGAGCAGAATTGTGTTAGGCTGACAAGAGTGGCTAATTCTCCTTCTGTCTCAGTGTAAGAGAAATGAGTCATCCTGTGTTTGTTCATCCCCTCGTTGGTTGGTACCCAGATGAGAGTTTCTCCAGTTTTCTGGTACTTGGATGATAAAGAAGGAAAAGATCTGGAGACCCAAATGGATAAACTAGTTGCTCCCATTTTATAGGACCATTAAAAAAAAACTATTAAGCAGTCTTGGTTCCTACAATCCAGAAACTTTTAGTCTAGACAAGCAACTGGATAAATAATTGAATTATGCATCATATGCTTGGTACAATAAATAGATGTGTCCAAACATAGGAGTTATCTGTCTTTTGAGGTTTGCGTAAAACTGATGATTCTTTATGATTAAATCAGATTTTATTTACTTTTTTGAAAGACGAATATTTCAACAGTGATGCTGTGTTCTTCTATGTGCATTAGCACATCATAAAAATTTCTCCTAGTGCAGTTAATGGTTAATGATCCACTTGCTTAAATGGCTCTGACAGATTGTTTTCACTATATAGCTGATTATTTTTCTCTTTATTATTAAGTATCTTTATGCAGCTCATGTGAGTAAACCATCACATTTAATCTGGCAGTTGTCCTTTCTTCTTAATTTTGTCTATATATTTTTCTTTGGAAAATGCAGGCTCTTATCTTTGTTTACAGGCCAGAAAAACTGAGAAAAACACAGGCTATTCCACTGACTGGATGTTTGACAAAATATCCTTCTTGGGCCAAAAACATTGACATTATTGGTGAGCTTGTTAGAAATTCGAAAAATCAGACTTCATTCCAGATCTTCTGGGAAAAAACCCCTGCACAATAAGGTCTTCAACGTATTGTATATATTTAAATTTGAAAGGTGCCTTCTAACTCAACATATCTTTTTTTTTTTTTTTTTGAGATGGAGTCTGGCTCTGTCGCCCAGGCTGGAGTGCGGTGGCCGGATCTCAGCTCACTGCAAGCTCCGCCTCCCGGGTTTACGCCATTCTCCTGCCTCAGCCTCCCGAGTAGCTGGGACTACAGGCGCCCGCCACCTCGCCCGACTAGTTTTTTTGTATTTTTTAGTAGAGACGGGGTTTCACCGTGTCAGCCAGGATGGTCTCGATCTCCGACCTCGTGATCCGCCCGTCTCGGCCTCCCAAAGTGCTGGGATTACAGGCTTGAGCCACCGCGCCCGGCATCTTTTTCATCTGAATATTCACAACTCATTCCGTATGGTGTAAACACAGCACTCAAAAATGTACATGTTTGTGTTCCTTAATTTTACACTTTACTATCTAGAAAAATATATGAACTGATGTTGTGGATCTCATGCTGTTCTTTTTCTCAGAGAATACATTAGATAATATTTCTGTTTTGAAAGTTATTTTATTGGATAATTTTAGTCCTATAAGTCAGAACCATTTGTGTTTACTCTCTCATTTCACCTTAAGTCAAATTAAAAATTCCACGCATGACCACTTGGTAAAAACGTATGTGTGTGTGTTTCAGGGGCCATTGCAGTTTAGAGACGTGGCCATAGAATTCTCTCTGGAGGAGTGGCATTGCCTGGACACTGCACAGCGGAATTTATATAGGAATGTGATGTTAGAGAACTACAGAAACCTGGTCTTCCTTGGTGAGAAAAACTTTAATACATTATTCATAATATACACAAAAGGTTTTATTTCTCTTTTTTGTAGAATTTTTTTAGTAATTTATTCTTTTATAGAAGAGTTTCAGATCCACTTTTTCAAGAAAATCTTCAGAATTCGGTCATTTAGAAAAGAGAAACTCTTCGGTGCCTCTTGCCTGTAATCCCAGCACTTTGGGAGGCTGAGGTGAGGTGATTACCTGAGGCCAGGAGTTCAAGATCAGCCTGGCCAACATGGTGAAACCCCATCTCTACTCAAAGTAGAAGAAATTAGCCAGGCATGGTGGCACGTGGCTATAATCCCAGCTACTCAGGAGGGTGAGGCAGGAGAATAGCTTGAACCCAGAAGGCAGAGGTTGCAGTGAGTTGAAATCATGCCATTGCACTCCAGCCTGGGCAACAGAGCAAGATTTCGTCTTGAGGAAAAAAAAGAAAAAAAATTTCTTCAAGATGTTTCATCTTAATCCAACCTTTCCCTATTTCTGAGGTGAGCTGTAATCTTCACTCCAAATTGGTGGTAATTCCAGAAATTTAGTGGCATAAAATATTGTAGCTTCCACCTGAAAACCTAATTACCACCACCAATTTTTGATTCAGTAGTGCCAGGCAGGACAATTAAGAAACCTACAAATTGAAAGTTATTTTCTTTCTTTCTTTTTGTTTTTTTTTTGTTTTTTTTTTTTTGAGACAGAGTCTTGCTGTCACCCAGGCTGGAGTGCAGTGGTGTGATCTCAGGTTACTGCAACATCCACCTCCCAAGTTCAAGCAGTTCTGCCTCAGCCTCCCGAATATCTGGGACTACAGATGCACATCACCATGCTCAGCTAATTTTTGTAGTTTTAGTAGAGATGGGGTTTCACCATGCTGGCCAGGCTGGTCTCGAACTCCTGACCTCGTGATTCACCCGCCTCGGCCTCCCAAAGTGCTGGGATTACAGGCGTGAGCCACTGCACCCGGCAAATTGAAAGTATTTTCTAAATATTTAGAAATTTCTGTTATAATTTGTATTTTGGTATTAATTTACTAGAATATTTTATTACATTGTCTTTGCTGAGCACATTACTAGCTTGCAAGTGGAGAATATGAGCAAGATTCATGTTATTTGTTTTTAATAAAACAGGTATTGTGGTCTCTAAGCCAGACCTCATCACCTGTCTGGAGCAAGGAGAAAAACCTTTGACTATGAAGAAACATGAGATGGTAGCCAACCCCTCAGGTAGGTGTAAGTGAAAATGAATACAACAGACACAGATAAGAGGTCCCCAGGTCAAAGAGAAGGCCAGTCCTTAAAGTGTGATTTGGGAAGCTGTGTTCCAAAGGAAATAGTTCCTGGTCAGCTGGGGTTTTTTCTTTTTGTTTTTTTTTTGTTTTTTTTTTTTTTTTTTTGATTCTTTTTTAAAATTTTGCTCTTATAAAGGGGCATCTTCTGCTTATGCTTTTAAATTCTGTAAAAATTCTACTTTTCTTTCAGTGAGCTCCCTTCAGGTTCACAGTGAGAGCCAAAGTCCTCTTCATGGCATGTAAAAAACTGCACAATCTGACTGCTTTTTCATTGTTTTGGGGACATATACATATCTGCATGATTTTGAGAATTATTTCTCTTTTTGCATCAGGTCTGAAATGTGTGAAAGTAGTCATTTCTGTTGAAAAAAAAATTTTTTCCTGCTTAGTCCTTTCTATTTTTATTACTACATAGTTTTAAAATATAGTTTGAAATTATAAGATGATATTCTTCTGCTTTGTTCTTTTTTTTCAAGATTGTTTTGGCTATTCAGAGTTTATTTTAGTTTGATGTAAATTTTAGAATTGTGTTTTCCATTACTGTAAAAAAAAAAACCACTGCAATTTTGACAGGACGTTTATAAAATCTATAGATCACTTTGGATAATATGACACTTTAATAAGATTTATTCTTTCAATCTCTAGACATAAAATATTTTAAAATGTATTTGGACCTTCTCATTTTTTCTTTTTTTGTTGTAAACATTTTCTTACCTTGGTTAATTTTTTTCTCAGAAATTTATTATTTAATGCTATATTAAATAAGATTTTTTCTTCCTCTATTTTATCAGATAGTTTGTTTTAAGCATATGAAACCATACATACACTTGTGTGTTAATTTTATATTTTGCTAATTTATTCAGTGTATTTGTTAGTTTAGATAGGTTTTAATGTACTGTTTATGGTTTTTTAAATATAAGAGGTATGATCCACAAACAGCAACTTTTACTTATTTTTCTTCAATTGCAATGGATTCTTTTCTTTTCTTTTCTTTCTTTTTTTTTTTCTCCCCCAAGATGGGGTTGGGTTTCACTCTTGTTGCCCAGGCTAAAGTCCAATGGCATGATTTCGGCTCACTGCAACCTTTGCCTCCCAGGTTCAAGCGGTTCTCCTGCCTCAGCCTGCTGTGTAGCTGGGATTACTGGTACTCGCCACAACACCCAGCTAATTTTTTGTATTTTTTTTGGTAGAGACCGGGTTTCACCATGTTGGCAAGGCTGGTCTCAAACTCCTGACCTCAGATGATCTGCCGGCCTTGGCCTCTGAAAGTACTGGAATTACAGGCATGAGGCACGCCTTCTAGCCCAGTTGCGTGGGTTTCTTTGTAGGCAGAACTGACCATAAACTGTGGCTCAAGTAACTGAAACTGAGTCAGGAACCACTTCAGGAACCCCAGTAAAGGCCAAGGTCTGCAGGCCTGCCTACATTACTGTAAATGGATGTCTTCTTCTAGGTCTCTGGAATGGAAGGACCTCTGCCAGACTGTGGCTGGGAGTTTGGGGTGGTTATAGAGTAAGTTCAGAATTCTCAGTGGGACTAAGTTGGGTGAACCCTATTCTGGTCTGTAGCCAAGAACAAGGGTCCTGTAGTTTCCCACCTGAATGAGAGCCTGCCTTCTGAATAGAACACTTCTCAATCTTAAGCTTTAACAGCGTTTCACAACTCCCTCCCTGGCTCTCAAATCTCCCTTAGCGGCACTTATTTTGGAGATGGCGTCTTGCTACATCTTTGATCTGGTCTTTGAGACCCAGGCTGGTCTCAAAATCCTGACCTGAAGCAGTTCTCCAACCTTAATGTACCATGGAGCTGTCATTACAGGTGTGAGTCATAATCCTGGTTCTCTCATAAAAGTATTTTTGTCAGAGATGGCTGACATTGTTTTGCCGTAAGGGAATATGAAAATATGGCACTTTTAATCTTTTCATCTCACTGATGTCACTCTCCCTATAAGTTTTTACTTTCTATTTTCTCTTTCAGATTTGTTTGTAATTTTAGATTCAGATATTTAAGGCAATATGCTAGAATTTGCATGGTATGCCTGAAGTAAATTGTATAATTAGTAGGCACCCATAGTTACTAAAATAGTTATTCATAAATTTAAGTTTTCTGCAGGCAAAAAGGAATTATAGGATGTTCATCTACTTTTTTCAGCCTATATCTCCATAATAAAATAGTTTATTTCCTAATACTTGTTGTACATATCAGAGGGTCTAACACTATTCTGGAAAATATATATTTTTTTATTTAACAATGTAAGCTACTCTTTGTTTCTAAAGTTGGATTACAGCAGTTTCAATTTGTGTAAGAATACCATATATTGAAAACATTAAAAGTAACTAGTTTCTTTTAAATGCTAATTTATTTTCTCATTAGAATCTTCTATTCATAATTATACTGTATATTCTCTGAAATTTTACTGCCACACAGTGCATGCCAATGATTCAGAATACTTGCATTTAGTGAGTACATACTAATAGTTAAATATTGCAATTATCTAGAAAATTTTTTTTTTTTTTTTTTGAGGTGGAGTCACGCTCTGTTACCCAGGCTGGAGTGCAGTGGTGTGATCTTAGCTCACTGCGAACTCCACTTCCTGGGTTCAAACTATTCTCATACCTCAGTCTCCCAGGTAGCTGGGATTACAGACATGTGTCACCATCCCCAGCTAATTTTTGTATTTCTAGTAGACATGGGGCTTCACCACATTGGCCAGGCTGGTCTTGAACTCCTGACCTCAGGTGATCTGCTCATCTTGGCCTCCCAAAGTGTTGAGATAACAGTCGTGAGCCACTGCGCCCGGCCTGACAATTTTTTTAAATTATACATCAATGTTGCATACAAGATTTTACGAGTAAACATTTCTCTTATTGTTGTTTTGAAGTTTTGAACCCCTCTGGGGTTCAAGTGATTCTTCTGCCTTGACCTCCTGAGACGCTGGGACTACAGGCATGTGCCACCACGCTCAGCTAATTTTTGTATTTTTAGCAAAGATAGGGTTTCACCATATTGGCCAATCTGGTCTGGAACTGCTGACCTCGGGATTTGCATGCTTTGGTCTCCCAAAGTGCTGGGATTACAGATGTGACCCACTGCACCTGGCCTCAGTGTAGGTTTCTTAACATTAGTTTATTGGGTGTTTTGGGTTTACTTATGTATTACAATTTTAGACAATTTGCAATTCTTTTTGTACATTTTAAGTCAATTTAAGATATAAGTTATGCATGTCTATCACAATCAGATTACATATGTATGTGTATTTATCTATAAATATGACCCCAATTTTAGTTATGGCTTATCCTATATTCTTTCTTAGCTGATTTTTGATGGTAGTTTTATCTTGTCTAAGTGACTAGTCATCAAGATAGTCTTATTTTCACCATGTGTTTAATGATGACTATATATTTGCTTTTGTGAGAGAAGCACTTCTACGATTTGAAAGTAATTTTCAAAAAGATATATAATTCTGTTTTGGTTTTTTTTTCAGTTTTTCTTTTAAAAAATTGTCTTAAAAACACATAACATAAAATTTACCATCTTAAATCTATTGAAGTGTGCATTTCAGGGCCAGGCTAGGTGGAGGCTCTTATTTGTAATCCCAGGATTTTGGGAGGCCAAGACTGGAGGATCCCTGGAGCCCAACAGTTTGAGATCAGCCAGGGCAACATATGGTGACCCCTCTCTATAAAAAAAAAAAAATTAATAGCTAGGTATAGTGGTGTGCAGCTGTGGTCCCAGCTACTTGGGAGATTGAGGGGAAGTCAAAATTGTACCACTACACTCCAGCTTCGGTGACAGAGTGAGACCCTGTCTCAAAAAAACAGCTGTTCATTTCAGGCATGTTAAATATGTTCACATTGTATGCAAAAGACTTCTAGAAACTTTACACCTTGTAAAACTGAAAGTCATTGACCATTAAGTACCAACTGCTCATTTTACCCTCTTTCCAGGCCTTAATAGACATACCTTCTACTTTCTGATTTTATGGTTTTGACTACTTAAGATATCTCATATACATGGAATCATACAGTATCCATAATTCTGTCACCGGATTAATTCAGGTGACATAATATTCTCAAAGTTCATCTTAAAATTGAGAATATTGTTTTTTCTAAGGTGGAATAATACTTCATCATATGTATATGTTACATTTTTATTTATAAATCAAGAGACATCTGGATTGCTTTTGTGAATACTGGTACAATAAACATGGATTTTCAATTATATCTTCCAGGTCTTGTGTTGCATATTTTGTTTTTTTGTTGTTTTCCTTTTTTTGAGATGGAGTCTCACTCTGTTGCCCAGGCTAAAGTACAGTAGTGCGATCTCGGCTCACTGCAACCTCTGCCTTCTGGGTTCAAGTGATTCTCCTACCTCAGCCTCCCAAGTAGCTGGGATTACAGGTGCATGTCACATCGCCAAGCTAATCTTTTATTTTTAGTAGAAATGGTATTTCACCATGTTGGCCAGGCTGGTCTCAAACTCCTGACTTCAGGTTATCTGCCCACCTCAGCCTCCCAAACTGCTAGGATTACAGGCTTGAGACATTGCATATGGCCTGTGTTACACATTTTGGATATAGATTTATACATGAGGAACATTTATAACATTTTAAAATAATGGCTGTGTCTTTGTTTTCCACCAGCAATCAGCATCGGTTTTATTTTCATTGCACCTGATGGGTGTAAGTTGATTTTGTCATGGTGTTTTTTAAAAAATTTCTCTACAAATTAGTAATTTTGTATGTTCTTTCAAATGCTTTTTCCCATTTGTGTATTTTTATGTTTAAGCATTTTATTTAAAATATGTAATTGGCCGGGTATGGTGGCTCATGCCTGTAATCTCAGCACTTTGGGAGGCTGAGGCAGGGGGTCATGAGGTCAGGAGATCGAGACCATCCTGGCTAACACGGTGAAACCCCGTCTCTACAAAAAATACAAAAAATTAACTGGGCATGGTGGTGGGCACCTGTAGTCCCAGCTACTCGGGAGGGTGAGGCAGGAGAATGGCGTGATCCCGGGAGGTGGAGCTTGCAGTGAGCTGAGATTGCCCCACTGCATTCCAGCCTGGGTGACAGAGCAAGACTCTGTCTCAAAAAAAAAAAAATAAAATATATTATTGTATCATTCAAGGAAATAAACAACTTTATTTTATCAGTGTTGATATTCAGTTTTCAACATTTTTAAAAGAGATTATTTCTTTCTATTTTGTATGCATGGCAACTTTGTGGAAGATCAGATGATCTTCTGATCACAAAGATCTTCTGATCACAAAGATCAAAGATCAAATGAACAGAAGGGTTCATTTCTGAGCTCTCTATTCTGTTCTTTCATCTGTTTATCTTTGTGTCAGTGTTACATCGTTTATGTTACTGTAGGTTTTTTTTTTTTTTTTTTGAGTCAGAGTCTCACTCTGTCACCCAGGCTGGAGTGCAGTGACGCAATCTTGGCTCACTGCAAGCTCTGCCTCCTAGGTTCATGCCATTCTCCTGCCTCAGCCTCCCAAGTAGCTGGGACTACAGGCACTCACCACCATGCCCGGCTAATTTTTTGTATTTTTAGTAAAGATGGGGTTTCACCGTGTTAGCCAGATGGGTCTCAATCTCCTGACCTCGTGATCCACCACCCCAGCCTCCCAAAGTGCTGGGATTACAGGCATTAGTCACCACGCCTGGCCATGTTACTGTAGGTTTTAACTGTAGGTTGTATTGACATCTTTGAAAAATGAAATTTTTTGCCCCCTGAGCAAGAATATGTTGTAGAGTGTGTTTCATTTTCACGTAGTTTTGAAATTTCCAGTTTGACTTTTGCTTTTAATTCCTAGTTTCATTCAGTTTTTGTTAGAAAACACAGTGTATGTAGTGTTTTTAAAATAATTGGTTGTTGTTGTTTTGAGACAAAGCTTACTGTCACCCAGGCTGCAGTGCAGTGGCAGAATTGTGGCTCACTGTAGCCTCAGCCTCCGGGGCTCAAGTGATCCCCTTCACCTCAATATTTTGAGTAGCTAGGACTGTAGATATGCACTACCATGTCTGGCTAATTGCTTGTTTGTAGTGTTAGGATCTCACTATGTTGCCCAGGCTGGTCTCAAACTTTTGGCCCCAATCAATCTCCCAAAGTGTTAGGATTATAGCCAAGAGCCATGGCACACAGTCAGTATTTTTAATTTAACAAAACTTGGTATGTGTCCTAACAGAATACACCAGATGCAAATAGGAATATGGTGTATTATCTTGGTTTTGACTGGAGAGTTTTGTGTGTTTCTGTGAAGCCTAGTTGGTCTATAATATGGTTTGGATGTCCATGTTATCCAAACCTCATGCTGCAATAGAAATTCTCAGTGTTGGATGTGGGACCTGGTGGAACATGTTTGGGTCATGGGGGCGAATTTTTCATGATCCACCCGTGTCAGCCTCCCAAAGTGCTGGGATTACGGCCATGAGCCACTGCATCTGATGGGGAATTTACTTTTAAAGGCATAATGTTATACTGGAGAGCAGGAAGAGCTGTGTTGGGTATAAGTAACAGGCTTTTCTTTATCTTCTATGTGACTCTTTGCATTGTGCTCGCCTGGGGCCCTTCATACACTTAACTGACTTATAAATTTTTTACAGATGTATTTTGGGCAGTATGTTTTTGTTACATTTACGTGTCCAGGAAGAAATTACAGCTCGCGATATTTTGCTGTGTCATCTTGCTTAGGTAGTTTGTATAACTTTATAGATTTGTAAATTATATTTATCTGAGTCTAGCAATCAAAGTAATGTGTTTTTATTGTTTCTTTCAGTTTTGTGTTCTCATTTTACCCAAGACCTTTGGCCAGAGCAGAACATAAAAGATTATTTCCATAAAGGGATACTGAGAAGATATGAAAAATGTGGACATGACAATTTACAGTTTAAAAAAGGCTGTGAAAGTGTGGATGAGTGTAAGGTGCACAAAAGAGGTTATAATGAACTTAACCAATATTTGACAACTACCCAAAGGAAAATATTTCAGTGTGATAAATATGTGAAAGTCATTCGTAAATTTTCAGATTCAAACAGACATAAGATAAGACATACTGGAAAAAAACCTTTCAAATGTATAGAATGTGGCAAAGCTTTTAACGAGTCCTCAACCCTTACTACACATAAGAAAATTCATACTGGAGAGAAACCCTACAAATGTGAAGAATGTGGCAAAGCCTTCAACTGGTCCTCACACCTTACTACACATAAGATAATTCATACTGGAGAGAGACGGTACAAATGTGAAGACTGTGGCAAAGCCTTTAGCCGGTTTTCATACCTTACTGCACATAAGATAATTCATAGTGGAGAGAAACCCTACAAATGTGAAGAATGTGGAAAGGCCTTTAAGCGCTCCTCTAACCTTACTACACATAAGATAATTCATACTGAAGAGAAACCCTACAAATGTGAAGAATGTGGCAAGGCCTTTAAGCGCTCCTCTATCCTTACTACACATAAGATAATTCATAGTGGAGAGAAACCCTACAAATGTGAAGAATGTGGCAAGGCCTTTAAGCACTCCTCTGTCCTTACTACACATAAAAGAATTCATACTGGAGAGAAACCCTACAATTGTGAAGAATGTGGCAAAGCCTTTAAGTACTTCTCATCCCTTACTACACATAAGATAATTCATACTGGAGAGAAACCCTACAAATGTGAAGAATGTGGCAAAGCCTTCAACTGGTCCTCACACCTTACTACACATAAGAGAATTCATACTGGAGAAAAACCCTACAAATGTGAAGAATGTGGCGAAGCCTTTAAGTACTCCTCTTGCCTTACTACACATAAGATAATTCATACTGGAGAGCAACCCTTCAAATGTGAAGAATGTGGCAAGGCCTTTAAGTGCTTCTCTATCCTTACTACACATAGGAGAATTCATACTGGAGAGAAACCCTATAAATGTGAAGAATGTGGCAAAGCCTTCAACTCGTCCTCACACCTTACTGCACATAAGAGAATTCATACTGGAGAGAAACCCTACAAATGTGAACGATGTGGTAAGGCTTTTAAGCGCTCCTTTATCCTTACTAGACATAAGAGAATTCATACTGGAGAGAAACCCTACAAATGTGAAGAATGTGGCAAAGGCTTTAAGTGCTCCTCTACCCTTACTACACATAAGGTAATTCATACTGGAGAGAAACTATAAATGTGAAGAATGTGGCAAAGCTTTTAACCCACTGTCCTTTTTACACATAAGAAAATTCATATTGGAGGGAAACTGTAAAGCGTGATAAATGTGGCAAAGCCTTTATTTCATCCTCACAGCTTAGTAGACATGAGATAATTCATGCGGAAGAGAAAGCCAATAAATAAGAAAATGCGACAAAGCCTTTAAGGACACCTCTGCCCTTCCTAGACATATGATAATTCATACTGGAGAGAAACCCTGTGAGTTTGATGAATGTGGGAAAGCCTTTAGTCAGCTATCAACTTGTACTAAATATGAGAATTTATATGAAACATAAACCCTATAAATACAAAGAATGTGACAAAGCTTTTAGGAAGTTCTGAACCCTTCTTACACATAATTCATACTGGACAAAAATCCTACAAGTTTGAGGAATGTGGCAAAGCCTATAACAAGTTTTCAATTTTTTTTTTTTTTTGAGATGAAGTTTTATGCTTATCACCCATGCTGGAGTACAATGCTATGATCTCGGCTCACTGCAACCTCTGCCTCCTGGATTTAAGCCATTCTCCTGCCTCAGCTTCCTGAGTAACTGGGATTACAGGTGTCCTCCAACATGCCCAGCTCACTTTTGTATTTTTAGTAGAGATGTGATTTCGCCATGTTTGCCAGGCTGGTCTCGAACTCCTGTCCTCAGGAGATGCACCTGCCTTGGCCTCCTGAAGTACTGGGATTACCGGCGTGAGTCATGATGCCCAGCCACAAGTTCTCAATTCTTAAGAGACGTGATAATTCATACTGAAGAGGAAATCTACACAGCTAAAAAATATGACAGTGCTTTTACCAACACCTCCAACTTCTCTATACGTAACAATGATTATACTAGTGTGAAACCCTAGAAATATATAAAATGTGTCAAAGCCTTTATATGGTTGCCACACTTGATTGTAGGTAAGATAATTCATACTGGCAAAACTACAAGTGTGAAGAATGTGGCAAAACTTTTAATCAGTTCTTAAACCTTATTTCACAGAAAAGCTAGTATCCTTGAGAAAAACTGTACAAATAGAAGGAATATGGAAAACCCATTAATTCCTACTCACATCTAACTCAACATAAAAAGATTCCTTTTAAGAATGGTGTGAACCCGGGAGGTGGAGCTTGCAGTGAGCTGAGATCTGGCCACTGCACTCCAGCCTGGGCAACAGAGCGAGACTCTGTCTCCAAAAAAAAAAAAAAAGATTCCTTTTAATAAAAGCATTAAAATTGCAATTACTGTCAAAAAAACTTTCAGAAAGTATAAGTCTTTAAAATGAGTATTTTTTTGTGAAAAGCATTACAAATATAAAGAGGGTTATATAGTACATTTACTTTTATCACAGATTTTATTGCACACATTTTGTACTGAAGGAAACCCTAACGCAGTTGCTCAAGCTTTGTTCAACATCAGGGAATTTATACTGGAGATGAGTCCTACAAATGTATTAAGTTTAGAAACACTTTTTTTTTTTTTTCAGAAACTACAGCTTAGAAAACAGCAGAGAGTTTATACTAAAATATAATTTTGCAGATGCAGTAAATATGAAAAAATATTTAATTCAAAATAGATTGTATATAAATATCAGAGAAGTTACAGTAGAATAACTAAGGCCCTGATATTTCAGACATTATACTAAATCAGAGCATTGGGTATAAAAACTAATCCACAGCAGCAGTTTTTAGGTAAATGATTTCTATGTAACTTTAAAAGGAGTAGATTTTGGAAGCATTGTAATTCCATTGAAAGTGTATTTGTTTCCTTGAATAAAATGTTTTGAAAGCTGAATAATGATGTAATACAGATTTCAAATTATGCTGTTATTTTCTATTCACATGTGAGAAAGCATGTGATCAATTGCTTCTGCATCAGAGATATCAGAGATTTTAAAAAATTATTTAGACATTATGACCTTTTCTATAAAATAATAAGAACATTAAAATGTAAGCTCCATAATGAAAATACAAGTGGAGAGGCTCTTTGTAGTAAAATTCTATTAAGTAATGTATAAGGTAAATGTTCAGAGCAATAACTTTATTATAGTGACAATTATGTTTAGAACGTTATTAAAATAAATGAGTATATTACTTTACTACTTGTACTTTTATGTAATAAAATGCAGTACATTTTAAAACTGTTAGGGCTGGGCTTGATGGCTCACACCTGTAATTTCAGCACTTTGGGAGGCCGAGGCAGGTGGATCACCTGAGGTCAGTAGTTCAAGACCAGCCTGACCAACAGACTGGTCTTGAACTACTGGAGAAACCCAGTCTTTACTAAAAATACAAAAAAATTAGCCAGGCATGGTGGTACATTCCTGTCATCCCAGCTACTCAGGAGGCTGAGGCAGGAGAAACGCTTGAACCCGGGAGACAGAGGTTGCAGGGAGCCGAGATTGTGCCATTGCACTCCAGTCCGGACAACAAGAACAAAACTGTCAAAAAAAAAAAAATAGGTTGTGAACTTAATTTTATTTTATTTTTACCATATTAACACTATTGTGCATTTGATGAACCATTATTGTGCCACTAACTTTATCCCACCTTACTCAAGGGTGTAGGTACAAGATGGTAGGAATATAATATACTATTTGGCACATAGTAAAATAACATCTCTATTAGTCACTTTGTTAGTGGCTTTAAACTGCAAATGAGTTAAAGTGTATTCCCATAGATTACATGTTTACTCTTTTTTCTTATTGAAATTTTTTTTTTTTTTTTTTGAGACGGAGTCTCGCTGTGTCGCCCAGGCTGGAGTGCAGTGGCCGGATCTCAGCTCACTGCAAGCTCTGCCTCCCGGGTTTTTATGCCATTCTCCTGCCTCAGCCTCCCGAGTAGCCGGGACTACAGGCGCCCGCCACCTCGCCCGGCTAGTTTTTTGTATTTTTTAGTAGAGACGGGGTTTCACCGTGTTAGCCAGGATGGTCTCGAGCTCCTGACCTCGTGATCCGCCCGTCTCGGCCTCCCAAAGTGCTGGGATTACAGGCTTGAGCCACCGCGCCCGGCCATATTGAAATTTTTTATTTGTATTCGTGGATATGTAGTATGTGTATATATTTATGCCTTATATGGCATCTTTTGAATCAGGCCTACAATATGTAATAATTACATCATGGTAAATAAGGTGTCCATCACCTCTAGCATTTATCTTTTTTATTACCAATAGTGTAATTATATGCTTTTTCATTTTAAAATGTACAATTGTTATTGACTACAGGATTATTTTTATGGTCATAATAATTATACAAAAGTATAAATAAAATACAGCCAGGTGCAGTGGCTCACATCTGTAATTCCAGTGCTTTGGGAGGACGAGGCAGGTGGAATGCTTGAGGGTAGGAATTCAAGACCAGCCTGGCCAACGTGGTGAAATCTTGTCTCTACTAAAAATACAAAAATTAGCCAGGCATGGTGGCACATGCCAGGATGCTGAGGCAGGAGAATCGTTTGAATCTGGGAGGTGGAGGTTGCACTGAGCTGAGATCATGCCACTGCACTCCAGCCTGGCTGACAGAGTGAGACTCCATCTTAAAAAAAAAGAAAGAAAAAAAAGTATACATTTCTGAGTCCTGAAAAATTATTAATAAATATTTGTAATATAGTGTTCCTTGAACATGTGGTCTCTGCCTGCAAGCATACAGACTTTTAGTTTTAATTTACATAGAGTTAAATATACACATACTACTCCGAAGAGAAACCTTAGGTGTAAGAAAATTATGAAGTGAGTGTTTTTGTGTGAGTATAGGTTTGTATATATTTTCAGAAGAAAAGAGCAATTATTGCAACAAGACAAATTATATTAATTAGGTGATTAACTAAACACTTTAAAAATGCTGAAAGCAAATCTATACTCTGCTTTGTATTGAATTTATTAATATAAAATGTTCTGGCTTGTGATTCGGATTCTCCCCAGAATCTATTAAAGCACAGGCAACTTTGTCTCCAGAAACAACTCTCTTAAGTACAATAATAAAAGCTCTCTTCAGCCGGGCGCCGTGGCTCAAGCCTGTAATCCCAGCACTTTGGGAGGCCGAGACGGGCGGATCATGAGGTCAGGAGATCGAGACCATCCTGGATAACCCAGTGAAACCCCGTCTCTACTAAAAAATACAAAAAATTAGCCGGGCGAGGTGGCGGGCGCCTGTAGTCCCAGCTACGCGGGAGGCTGAGGCAGGAGAATGGCGTGAACCCGGGAGGCGGAGCTTGCAGTGAGCTGAGATCCGGCCACTGTACTCCAGCCTGGGCGACAGAGCCAGACTCCGTCTCAAAAAAAAAAAGCTCTCTTCAAACAGAAAAATTAAAAAAAAAGAAAAATCATTTTTAACACTTACTTGAATGGGCAATCAAAATTGAATACTTGGATATATTTTTATTCTATGTGTGTGTGAATGTATAAACAGTGCATAAAAAATAATTTAAGCCAGAAAAAAGGTGTTAGTTAATTTTTTTTTTTTTTTTTTTTTTTTTTGTGAGACTGCGTCTCACTCTGTTGCCCAGGCTGGAGTGCAGTGGCGCGATCTCGGCTCACTGCAAGCTCCCCCTCCCTGGGTTCACGCCATTCTCCTGCCTCAGCCTCCCGAGTAGCTGGGACTACAGGCGCCCACCACCACGCCTGGCGAATTTCTTGTATTTTTAGTAGAGACGGGGTTTCACCGTGTTAGCCAGGATGGTCTCGATATCCTGACCTCGTGATCCACCCGCCTCGGCCTCCCAAAGTGCTGGGATTACAGGGGTGAGCCACCACGCCCGGCATTAGTTAATATTTGTAATGAATAAAACTGAAAAGTAGTTAATTATTATATCCAGTTGATATCTTTGTTTATGTAGATAACAAAAGCAGCAGAAAGACTTTTTTTTTCCCCCCCAAGATGGAGTCTCGCTCTGTCGCCCAGGCTGGAGTGCAGAGGCGTGATCTCAGCAACCTCCACCTCCTGGGCTCAAGCAATTCTCCTGCCTCAGCCTCCTCAGTAGCTGGGATTACAGGCGTGCACCACCATGTCGGATTGTGTTTTTAGTAGAGAGAGGGTTTCATCATGTTGGCCAGGTTGGTCCCAAACTCCTGACCTCATGATCTGCCTGCCTCAGCCTCCCACAGTGCTGGTATTAGAAGCATGAGCCACCGTGCCTGGCGAAAGACGATTTTAAAAGTTTATTATGGTGGGTAGGCAACATTCTAAGATAATACCCTGGATTCCGAGTCTGTTGCACACCTGCTGTGTAATACTTTCCTCTTGAGTGTAAAAAAAAAATGTGTGACTATGGTAGGAAATCACTTATGAAATTAGGTTACTCGGCCTGGCGCGGTGGCTCAAGCTTGTAATCCCAGCACTTTGGGAGCCCGAGCCGGGCGGATCACGAGGTCAGGAGATCGAGACCATCCTGGCTAACACGGTGAAATCCCGTCTCTACTAAAAAAAATACAAAAAACTAGCTGGGCGTGGTAGCGGGCGCCTGTAGTCCCAGCTACTCTGGAGGCTGAGGCGGGAGAATGGCCTAAACCCGGGAGGCGGAGCTTGCAGTGAACTGAGATCCCGCCGCTGCACTCCAGCCCGGGCGATAGAGCGAGACTCTTTATCAAAAGAAAAAAGAAATTAGGTTACTCATCTGTAGACTTAATCAGAGGTGCTTTTAAGAGAAAGAGACACATCACAGAAAAACACCCCTGCTGACCTGAAAGTAGTGACTTCTAGGTAGAACATGTTGTAAACTGGTTATGGGTGGCCACATGGCAGGAAACATGTTTGTAGATTGTCATCATTCCTGCCTCCTGCATGTTGCTTCCAGTAAGGAGCATAAGAGGATTCTATGGCAGAGGGTAAAAAAAGGCAATCTCATTCATTCAAGAAATAATCACCTCTCACCTGGGATAGCTTAAGAAAAACAGGAGACCACAACAGGACCACATTAATGGGAGAAAAAGGGTAACCTGGGTAAAAGTGCTCTCTGACATTATGGAACAATATTTACTAAGCTATACTGAATGATTGGCCTCTGGGATACCAATAGTCTACCAACAAGGATGAATTTATTCTATTTCAATCAGCATGTCTGCACCATTCTGGTGACCCAGGTTTACACTATTTATTATCAGAAATGCCATGAAGACCAGTGGGTAATGTCCTAGAATTGAACTTGCTTCAAAAAGCATACCTAATTGTCTGTTTTCAAATTTGAAAAACCTTAAAAACAATGAATTTATAAATAATTAGCATAATTATAGAGGATTCTACTATACTGTAATACAAGATTAAACTGTAAACACCTTAATATGAATAGTTTTTGAATGAATGATTATGTAGATAGTTTCTTTTAGATTCACATGACCAAAGTAACACTTACAGAAAACATTTGAAATGGAATAAAATTAACCAAAACCTCATTTTTTCAGTGGCTTGGCATAATTGCCATACTTATGAAAATGGAAATGGCCTGATAACTAACAAGAAACAAAGACAAGATTTAAGCTTTGCTTAATGATTGTTTTTTACCTTTTGAAATCTGAAATCCTGGCTAAAGTATTCAAAGGGCGTATGGGGCTTTCCAGGGTTTCCAAGTAAATGAAGAAAGAATTTATTTTACTTTATTTTTTAGATGGATTCTCACTCTTGTCGCCCAGGCTGCACTGCAATGGCACGTTTTCAACTCACTGCAACCTCCGCCTCCCTGGTTCAAGTGATTCTTCTGCCTCAGCCTCCTGAGTAGCTGTGATAACAGGCACCTGCCATTATGCCCACTTAATTTTTGTATTTTAAGTAGAGATGGGGTTTCATCACATTAGCCAGGCTTTTCTTGAACCCTTGACCTCAGGTGATCCACCCACCTCAGCCTCCCAGAGTGCTGGGATTATAGGCATGAGCCACTTTGCCTGGCCAGAAGAATTTTGGTAGGCAGGAAAATGCACATTATGTACACACATTGCTCTTCTCTGATTTGCTTCAACACTGAAAAACTGAAGATTGTAAATGTTGTCTCAATTTAGAGTGAATTAACAAAAGATTTGTTTTTCAAAAAAGCAAATGTATAAAATTAATGGGTAACAGATGCCATTAGCTGCTAAAAAATAGTATGACTAATGTTAGTAAGTATCTATGCA